AAAAACAGGGCTGCCACGGCCAACACGCTCTGTACTCTGCCTTGCCTGCTCATCTCTTACAGTGGCTCTCAGTAATGTGCCCAGTATTACCCAAGAACCCCAAGGAGTCGGGTTTGAAAGCCAGTGATTACAACTAGGCAGTAATCTGAGACTTCTTGTACAGTAATGATAGGAAAACCTGCGGGATGACACCTGGTCCAGAAGCACAGCTGCCCAACACTTAAGCATTTCTTAGTCTGGAGGGCACCATCTGCCAAGTCATCTTACTGCGATTCAAACCACAAAACCTACACAGTTGATGCTGATCAGTCATCTGTTAGCCATTTTTTTCCCTTAAGTACTGGTCACTTAACTAGAAAAACTTAAAACTTACAAAACAAGAATTGATCCAAGAGGGCAACAGGTGAAAGAGAAAACCAGTGCCCCAGGGCTCCAGCTGCAAAGCCTCTGATGAGAATACGGGCTGAGAGTCAGGAAGAGGGATGGTGTTATGGGGCATGTACAGTGGGCAGTTGCTGGGAGGCCTTTTAACTCAGCAGGGAACCCATGCTCTGGGAAGGTTATCACAGGCAGCTGCTACCTTGTGTGGTCCCACCTGACAGTTTAAAAGGTTTATTCAAGTGCCCTGTTTTTTGACTTCTATGGTGTATCTTTAAAAGAAAGTACCCTGTTCATGGCCACAAGGTTTATGAAAGTGCCTTGCATAAGCAGACAGTGGTGGGCAGCTGGTGCATTCAGTGCACTGTGACTTTGGTACCCTGGGGCGACTGTGACCAGTGTCCAGACGGGAGGCTGCCCTGACTGACGCTCCTTCCACCACTGGCACCACCTGGCTCTAACTTAAGCAGGCCACCCCTGCAAAGACCCCAGCTGGATCCTCGGCTTCCCTTACCTATCTTGGAAGAGACGCAGAGCTTCATGTGCCCAAATCCGAATGAGGCCTTCAACAGGCAGGGTCTCCAGAGGTCTCAGTGCTTCGAAGATGCCTCTCACCCACCTAGTCATTTCACGGGGTGAATAGATATAGTGAGGTTGTGTATCCTGGGTGAATCTCTCCTATGGGAATGAGAAAAATGGAAGTTACATGTCAATATCGTAGGACACAGAGAAGTGGTCAAAAGGTAAAATGCGGCAAAATATGTTTACATTAAAGAACCCAGACCCTGAAATATTTAAGAAGATAGCTGGACATGGTGGCGGGCGCCTGTAGTCCCAGCTACTAGGGAGGCTGAGGCAGGAGAATCGCTTGAACCCAGGAGGCAGAGCTTGCAGTGAGCCGAGACTGTGCCAGTGCACTCCAGTCTGGGCAATAGAGCGCGACTCCGTCTCCACGAGTAAACAATGTTGGAACAACTGGATAATCGTCCAGAACAAAGTTAGATTCAAGCTGCTCACTTTATGCTGAAATACATTTTATTTCATGATTTAAACATTTAAACAATGAAACTACAAAAAATCCTTCTGAAAATGCTTAAAATTAAAAGCAAATTAAATACTGCGAAAAAGCATCTGCCACCTATGACAAGCAAGCTGTCCCAAAGCATGAAGAGCGAGGGAGACACAGCAGGGCGGTCGGCGGCTCCCACTCATGCCCGCAGCCAGCGCTCCATGGGAGGCTCAACAGAGAAATGCCAACAGCAACGACGAGAGTCATTGCTCACCAAATGGGCAACGACATTTTTGTTAATGACTCTTTTTTAAATGTTGCAGAACACAGGGAAGCAGGTGCTGCTGGTGGGAGTGTAGCTGGTCCCACCATCCTGAGAGCAATCTGGCAGATACGCAGCCTTTCTATACATTTAGAAACTGCACAGCCTCTGTTCTCATCATCTACACATACATACGCACGTATCGGATAATGATCTACACATACATACGCACGCATCGATAATGACCTACACATACATACGCACGCATCGGATAATGATCTACACATACATACGCACGCATCGGATAATGATTAAACATGGAAATGGCAGCAGTCTTAGTACCTGCAGAGAAAAGTGACTTTGAAGACAGACCCTGGAGAAAGTCTCTCGGCTCGATAACATCTCTGAATAAAGTCCAATCTTTTTTAACAGAGTTCTCATTTTTTTTTTGAGATAGGGTCTCACACTCTACCACCCAGGCTGGTGCAGTGGCACAATCACGGCTCACTGTAAGCTCTGCCTCCAGGTTCAAGCGACTCTCCCACCTCAGCCTCCTGGGCAGCTGAGACTACAAGCATGCACCACTACGCCCCCCTATTTTTTGTACTTTTTGTAGAGACAGGGTTTTGCCATGTTGTCCAGACTGGTCTCAAACTCCTGGGCTCAAAGGATCCACCCACTTCAGCCTCCCAAAATGCTGGGATTAAGGGTGTGAACCACCACACCTGGCCAACAGAGTGCCTTCATTATGAGAGGAAAACAATTTCTGGAAGAGCAAAGAAACCCTGCGTACCTGAGACATGGTGTAGAACTCCACCATGGCAGCAGTGAGCGGCTCCGCGTATGTCCGCAGGGATGGAATGAGCCTCAGCATGGCGCGGTTGAAGGTGCCGTAGATCTGTGTGAGGGAGGCGGGGCCCGGGTAATCCACATACACGACAGGCACGTGACGCAGGAACCTGTGCACAGACAGCCCAGCTCAGCGCCCCTCCCTGACAGCGGCTCCAGGGAAGGGGCAGTGTGCCAGTGGAGTCGCCCTGCCAGGGCCCTGTCTGGAGGTCGCTTCCTAACCCAGCTATGCAGATTTGACATCAGTGTTAGCTGAGATCACACACACACTGCTCAGGCTTGGGGTCCGACACGTAACAGTCGATGGAAAACACTTGAAAAAGAAACCAGCAAAGATGAGAAAATAACCAAGGCTTATTTCAGCCTCATCTTGGCTCTACAGATGAGTCTGGAGCAGTTCTTCACTACCAAGAGATCAATGCTTTCATTTTATTTAATTTTATGAGATGAAGTCTTGCTCTGTCGCCCAGGCTGGACTGCAGTGGCGCGATCTCGGCTCACTGCAAGCTCTGCCTCCCGGGT